GTGGAAATAGGTTTAGTTTCATTGGAAGCTAGAGCATGGTTCCTTCTTCTTACCTTTTGGCTAAAGTTAATTTTGATGCCTGTAGGGTTAGCCCCTTTAGTATTTATAGATCATTTTAAATCGTCGTGGGGAAAAAAAGCCCTAGATAAAATTAAATCGCTGGGCTTCTCTATGGAAAGTCTGTGTTCATTAGGATTTGATAATGCTAGAACTGCCTTGAAACAACATATCTGGGATATTGATCTCCAAACAAACTTAAGTAAGGTGGCACATTCCAATATTTATCACTTGCTTCCAGAAGGATTCTTCCCAGCTTCTTATCTATTTTCCATTACAATTTTGAAATTTCGTAAAGCTTTCACCTTAGCCAGGCTGGATGCATTGCCCTTGACAGTCCTTTTTGGATGGTTTAAGGGCATTCCTATGCACCTTCAGTTGTGTCCATGTGGTGATGGCTCTATAGAAACCCTAAGCTACATGCTGCTTCATTGTTCTTTATATAAAGACTTTAGATTCTTATATATTCTTATATATCCTATATTGAAGATGTTTCCAGGTAGGGGATATGAATTTTATCTAAAGTTGCTACTTTCAGATAAGGATCTGAAAATATCAATTCAGGTTGCCCAATTTTGTGCCACCATTTGCACAATATGTCGCACCATTATCAAGGTCTGAAAAATTTTAATATGATGTTTTATTTTGAGAATTTCGGATTATATTACATTGATTGTTTGATGGTTTTATATTCTGTAAATATGGAAGTAAAATTGTCACTGTTGTTATATTTTGATTATGTCTGGCCTTATGGCTGTAATAAACAGATTGATTGATATCGATACAATCTGGCAAGTTGCACTGACATTTGATTGCTGATATAGTCAAGGATTTTACTGGACACTTGCTGAGGGCATTTTCCCTCATGAATTTTATTCTGTTGCCATTTTAGATTGTGTCTAACAGAGACCACACACCTGACTTCTGCAAGGCATTTGCCTACATTATGACTCACCAGTACTTTTTAGAGCTTATATACTTCTCACAGACGTGAGTTTAGGCTTATTTGAAAGAACGTGAGATCTACTTTTTAAACACACATTTAGCCCTTTTTTTAAAAGAGCCCAAACCCTGTGCTGCATAAAAGGTCCACTTAAACTAGAAAAGCAATCAAAAGGCAACTGGATTCTGCCTGCAATGTGTTGCTAGTTCATCACCACTGAATGAATTATAGGGTTTTCCTAGCTTCTGACAACAATGAGTACGTGGTGGCTGTACTTTCTAGTCTTTTTATTATTTCTGTTTATCTCCAAGGATTTGCACAAGAGAACACGCTGATTGGAGGATCAAACTGATCTCTCAGGCTCAGTCTCCTGCAGCTGTAATTTCTACGTCTCTTTATGAAAAGCACCATATTTCCTATGTTCCCAGGGGACCAGGGGACATTTTGCTTACTCTGTACCAGCTTTGGTGGCACCAAGCGACATGTTAACGAGGGACATTATTAGGGAGAGGCAAATAATAATTATGTACATCTAAAACTATTTGCTGTATTTGTAGGCCACCTATTCCAAAGAAGCCCGAAAAGTTTTCCAAAATTAAAAATAGCAACTTACAGCTTCTCATTTAGTGACCATTCAAAGTTACAATGGCACTGAAAATTTATGACCGGTTTCACAGTTATGACTGCTGCAGCAATTCGTGGTCGTAGTAACAAAATTCAGGTGCTTGGTAACTGGTTCATGTTTATGACGGTTCCAGTGTCGCAGGGTTATGTGATCACCTTTTGCAAACTTCTGACAAGCAAAGTCAGTGAGGGAACCAGAGTCAGTTAACAACTGTGATACTGACTTAACAACTGCAGTGGTTTGGTTAACAACTGTGGCAAGAAAGGTCATAAATTGGGGCAAAACTCATTTAACAAGTATCTCGCTTAGCAACATATATTTGGGGCTCAATTGTGGTCGTAAGTCAAGGATTAGCTGCACATTATTGCAGCAATCAAACAGCATTCATTCAAATCTAAGGTGAAACTTGGCTTTTCAAAGAGTGCTTCTGGATGCTGGCAATCATGAGGCCACAATACAACTCTGTGATCACTTGGCTGCCAGCACTGTTATTCCCTGCCAGCACTGGCTGGAGATGAAGCTTACTCATTATCAGTGGCTGGCTGTCTACAGAACTTCAGGCTTTCCTATGTGTAAGGATTGGTATTTGATTGCTTTTATGAAATAGATGCATTCCTCCCTTGCAAAATGTCTAGGGATAACCTGGTGTAGGTCCTCCGTTCCAAACTATGCAACTGAAAATAACAAACTAATCAAGCTACATGATTGACCTTAATTCCTCTTTGAGACCTGTTATGTCCTGGGCCTGCTGAGTGACTCAGCAGGTGCAGGAAGCTGCAGAGAGGCCCGGGCAGACCACGTGGATGCCCGGGACCAGACAGGCTGACTCCAGCCTATTGCGCATGCGCAAGGTGGGAGAATCCATTGCATTGATTGGTTGACACTGTCCCTGCAAAGGGGTATAAAAGGAATCCGCACCATTTTGTATTGGTTCTGTTGAGATCTGAATAAAGAGCAGACTGTTGTTACTCCTGCCTCGTCTCAATGCCTTTACATCGAAAACAGAATAAGACCCATTTCTGAATGTCAAAAACACCACGGGGGAGAGGGAGCCAGAGGATATTTTTTTAAAAAAATTACTGGCAATGCTAAGCAGAACAAAATATTTTTTAACAACAAAAGATAAAAAAGCTTGCTGTCCATGGGTTACATAATGGCACCCTTTCTATTTATCCAATGTTTCTGTGGTTTCCCTGGAGAAGATGAATGTGCCAACTCTGACAAAGCTGGAATCCATTCTATATATGAATATCCAGAGGCCCAGTCTAGACTCCCATTATTTTCCTCCATTGTGCACTCAGCTTTAAAACACTCCTTGGCTGAGCAGCATTTTATCGTCCCTATAACTGTTCTGAACCTTTACCATTTTCTCATTAACATGACACTATAACAAACACAGATTGGTCGCCATTTGCTCACGGGCAACCCCCGTCTACAACGGTCATCAGTTGATTAAAACTCTGTTGAAAACAGAGAAACATTTGTGATGCTTGGGATTTCCCCTCTCATGGTTTCATAGAAGAACACACACATACACAAATCTGTATGCTTCTTGAGGAAGAGAGAAAAAACAGATCCTCTGCAGTTTGCCTCTGTAGCTTTTGATTTCCATGACCCTTTTAGTTGTCTTTGCCTTCTCTTCTCTGTAGCACAGTATATTTTGGTAGGTTTTAATTATTCTTAATATTGACTAAGAATTTCCTGAATTTGAAATATGATAAACACACACACACACACACACACACACACACACACACACACACATAGGCAGGCAGATAGTGACATCTCTGTACTGATGCCAAGAGGTTCCCTGTTCAGGAATCAAAATAACCAATGGATTTGGCAATAAAGAAAATCAGGGAGTTTTCTAAGGGAATGTTTATCCAAAGCTATTTTCCAAATGTGCAGGTAAGTTGGCCTGAAAAAAAAGGAAAGAAAAATTCCTTTCTTATATAGAAAAGGGACACACCAAGAGGCTGCTTGATTGCCATGTCCCTTTTCTTCAAATCATCTCATTTCCCCAAATCTCTGGAATCAGGCTGCCTAACAACATGCCAAGCCTATGAGGGAATCCCACCCCCACCCCAGTAGCTTCTGAAGTTCTCTTGGTCTTCAGAGAGAATCCCAACCTTTCAGCCGCTGAAATAGGGCTTCAAGCCTCTCCGTGTGTGCCATCTGTCACTATAAGATGCAAAACCAGTTTAGCAATTCTATGCCTTTACAAAAGGCATACCCACCCCAGCAGCTGCAACAAGTTCATTGTTCTTTTCAGGCCACTGACCATTTTTATCTCTCCCCCTTACCCCACCAGGTGCTGTCTGCCTGCCACCAGCTGCTCCACTAGCTTGGTGGATTTCTGTTACACTTTATGGGACTTCAATAGAGGTCATTTCCTAATCTGGCATTTCTTTTTTAAAACAGTGATCTGGTTGCTTTGCAAAATAGGACAGTAGATCTATATGTGGTATACTTAGGGAATGTTTAATGTTTACTTTAAGGATGCATAGCTCAGAATATTCCACTCTGTGATGCCCAAATCTTCTGAGTACAAAGGACCATTCTGGAAAATCACACATTGGGCCTATTTTTTACACACACACACACACACACACACACACACACACAGAGAGAGAGAGAGAGAGAGAGAGAGAGAGAGAGAGAGAGAGAGAGAGAGAGAGTCAATTGTTAGACATATACTATGCATACTGGAGCAAATGTAACAAAGAATCTGATCATTATACAATACCAGTATTTTATTAAAATGCCATCCCCAAAGTAAAGAAACAATCAAAACAATAAAATGATAATAAATTTGAGAAGAGGAATGTGGTGTATTTGTCCACACCTCTCAGTGCACAACATGGGTGCTTTTTAAAAGGTTAATTGAGGATTTAAACTTGTACTTTTAAAGCCACTGAGGTTTACTTGTGGTCAGATTTGATATCTTCAGACCAGTTGTACGTAAAAGATACACTCTTCTGATAAGCAATTTCTGTCTGGATGTGTAAGTTGCCCTTTATTGCTGTGTAGGCCCGCTTATGCCAACCTACAGAGAGCAATAGAGTTTTTCACACATCCCACCTGATTCTCCTTGTAATTTGGAACTTCTGCCTACAACACACCACATCTGTTCCATCACGTTTCTATCAGTGACCACACTGGACTTTTTCTCTTTTTTTGTAAGAAGTGGGAAAAATTCTTCTCTTACAACAGTGGCTGCAGCTGCCCTAAAAGGAAGAGGAAACCCATGAGCTAGCAGGCATCTGCCAGTGAATGCTTCGCTTAGCTCTGCCCTCTGTGATGCTTTTTCCTGTTGTTCTGACGTTGTGACTTTCCACCTGCCTCCTCAACTACAACCACCAGCAATCATTCCGAATGCAGCACACGTGGGGCTGACTGGCTGAGTCCTCAGTTCTCTCCAGCAAGTTACAGTAGTTACAGCCAAGCGGTTATGCTGCTTCTCTCCTTCTCTGCAGTTCGCGTAAGGTGAAAAAACTCCAGCAGAGACCCTTTCCCGGTAAGTTTATAAGATAAGCATATGGAAATGATCAGGACAGTCCTGTACTTTGGGTCTTTGAATCAGAAAAAAAGACTTCAGATAGCTTCCAGCCCCAATCCCCCAGCCAGTTTAGCTACGTTGTACCGCTGACAAGATGCTTGTTCATAATGAACTCTGGGATAAGGCTTGACTGACTGATAAATTCTTAGCATATGCTGTATGACTTGTTTTATTTTAGTGAGTTATTCATGTCCTCCCTTGCTGTTTCAAACTGTAGAATATTCATTCAACTTAGCATGTGATAAGTGGTTTTCAGAGCTGCTATAACATTGTGCTATGAAGGATTATCTGTGGGATTTGCTCGTTCAGATTTGTTTCGGCAAGTTACAATCTTTTTTTTTTCCAGAAAGTAGAACTGTTTATAGAGCGGTCAAGCCTCCTTTTTGTTGTTTTATCAGAAATCAAAGACAATAAACAGAAAAAATGAATTACTTAGGCCAGCACCTCTATCTTAAATTGCTTAGTCTGTATCGAGTTTAATTTTGCAAACAGTACAGTTGTGTGCTTTAGCAGATATTGCTAATATCATTCTTGTCCTCTGAAACAGGCAAACAAGAGAAACCCAGGAAAGCAAGATCATTAACAGTTGGATTACTGATGAAGGTGCTAAGCAGTTGCCATGCAGTGAGTGCCTTTTCTCTTCATATTCCTCTCTCTCTCTAGAAGTGTTGCAAGTGAGTGCTGCTGAAACTAGATGATTTCTGATTATATTTTTCCTTTGCTTTACCTTACAGCCCAAAAGTTTAAATGCAAAAGAGATGGAGGCTTTAATTGCACACTCATCAGAGGTAAGCACACATAAAGCCCTTTGCTGTTTCTATGTATTAAGAGTTTGTGATTGTAAGCGTACTTCTTATGGGACTCTGTGAGACTTACTTCTGAGTAAACTCACTCAGAATTGTAGAGCACATCCTATGCTTTTGTAAAGTCATGGTCAGTCATTCCTGCTCAGCTTTAGCTTATGAGGAAAAAAAATGAAGTCATTTTTAATAGCACTGTAATTCTAGCCAATGTTTTATAATAGTACACTTAATCTTCTGCTTGCATCTTCATCGTTACTGAATTCAAATCACCTTAAAGACTGAATGAAACAAAAACTCCTGAACTTCCATCCACACTCATTAGCAATTTTAGGAAGTCTGTTTAAACATGAATGAGTGTGTTATGAGCTCCCTGTTACAGTTCAACACAAAGGAATGAGATTTGTGCTCATAATAGATTTCAGAACAGAAATATGTAAGGCTGTAGTCTGGATTATAATGTCCAAATTCTAAACACCTGTTACTTCAAAAACCTATTAATTTCAGTGAGCCTGTTTTCAGTGCAGTTAGCAATCCCTTTATAGCCTTACTTGGATGTATGGCTGACATCCAAAGAGCAGCTCACATAAAACAGCTCACATTTGCCCTGGGAAATTCCTGGCTGCAATCCTCTCTATCACACATTAATTCCTGTCTGAAATGTATCTGTTTAACTTTTCTTCTCACCCACCCACCTTTCCCTGCAGGCCCTCATTACTCAATCAAACTTAGAATAAATCCATTGACATCAGTAGACGTCTAGTTAGTCCTGAATAATAAAAGACCCATTGATGTCAATAGTAACCATGGTCAATGGTTTGAAACCAACCATGTTTTGCTTGTTATCATGCTTTGGATCTATATTGTTTGTAGAGCTCACTAAGGATTCCTTTAACCAAAGTAAACAGGATAGCTGAGGACAGTTTTAATATTTATTGTTGCTTCTGTTTAATGTTTGGTTAAGTGCCATGCAATTCAGTGTTGCAATTGAATGCATCCTTCCCTGTAACAAAAGGGTGTGGGTTTTGTCTGTTTGTTTTGAGGAACTGAGCAACGTGATGTATTACAGCTTTATTGGACTCTCTGCTGCATGACGGATTGATGATTTTTACTGACTTTCTTAAATTTCAGGAGGATTTCAAAAAACGTCATCTCTTCATGACATGTGATAATGAAGATGAGCCATGTCATCTGATTGGTATGTGTGCAGGAACAGGAGCAGTGGGATTATGCTAAGCCCAACGTACCTTGAACTTTGTTCTCTACAAGTGAGGGGCATTTATCCTGCTCTTTTGGATGATGCAGGAAGTGACAGGATGAGTCCCAAGCTCTGTCTTGGTCAAGGGATTGGATAGTTGACTACTCTTTTCTGCCACTGAGGATGGCCACATTTTTATGTAGTAGTCACAGGCTGGTGGGTTCTCAGGTTTAAATCATAACTTATAACTCTAAATTGCCCCCTGGTGGAAATATATATACACCTAAAATGTCTAGAGCTATAAACTGGTTGGTTGGTTGGTTGGTTGGTTGATTGGTTGGTTGGTTGGTTGGCTGTTCTAGGACAAACCATAGGATGGCAGGTTAACTATATATTTAACTACCGCCACTGATGGTTGAAACAGGCTGATTTCCTTAAGAAGGGGATTGTGGATAAAATTTAAATCTGCAAGTGATTCATAATGCATGGTTCCAGCAAGAACAAAGTTAGAGGTGGAGAGTTTACAGCTGGGTTGACAGTAGAACGGAAGTCCCATTTTAATTAAGCTAGGTTTGTGATCAGTTCAAAAGTGATATATTTGCCACATTGAACCTTCTCAATCACTTTTGACAAGAAACCAATTTTTACCTCTGGTAAAAGAACAACTGGGCTGGCCTTTTTGGCTACTAATTTACAGTTTTGCAAACTGCATTTGTTTAGATTCAATTGCTCTGATTGTTCCTTCCAGCATTGCTGGATGCTAATAAGGAGTATAACTATAGCAACTTTTCCCAATTTGCAATAGACTACAAACCTCATTATCCCTAGTCCATGCCTAGCCAGTTTGGCACTTAATCAGAATAGGAGCTACAGTCTAAAGCAGTTTTGCTATCATGCATCCAGCCTGCAGGCCGGCAGTTTGACACCCCTGGTCTAAAGCATCTAAAAATAATTTTGTTGAGAATAGGTGATTCATATAATTCTATAGTCCTATATTCATGTATCTAGTGCTGTGTCATTCATTAGTTGCACATTATTCCTACTCCTTTTGTTCTTCCAACAGATCGTCACAGGAAAAGAAAGAATGTAATATCTTTGCCATTTATGTTCAGACGGTCTACCCATGAATCAGAAAGTCAGGGACATCTAGAATCTGAGTTGAAACCACCTCTGTTTGACTTCCCTCTGTCACTTGTTTGCGATGCTGAAGATACGCTGCCCAAATCTATACAGGTAAGTAAGCAGTAGGGTATTGTATCTATCTTATATGAATAGTGCTCTGCGCTTTGTCTGTATAAGATAATCCCTAACATAAGCAACAGGAGGATTTTCTTCCTCCTAGTCATATATGGGAGAAGTTGAATTATGATTAAACATGTTCTTTAAAATAATTCAAATCTATGCCAAGCAAACTCTTCTCTAAGGCTAAGCTGAATCATGAGTTGTACAGTATATTACTGAAGTTTTACAATATTGTGCCAAGAATTTCGCCTTCTGCGGAGAAAGGAATTTCTGCTTAGGTCTGGGATAGCTAAAAAGCAAACAGTCTAAAGGCTAGGGAAAATATGGGGAGAAAAAAAATGATTAAGGAAGAAAAGGGAACAGTTGTATGTAACTCAGGAAGTCAGTATCATAATGTATATAAATGTCCTGCCAAATACATGTCGCTGAAAAGGTGAGCATAGAAGAATGATGGTGTTCAGTTCCCTGTCTGGAACTTAACACATGTGGTATTCTTTTTATTCCTGTTCACATTGTAGGACATCCTTACAATACTCTTCCAGAAAGGACCACTCACTGAAGGGATATTTCGAAAAGCTGCCAATGAGAAGGCACGCAAGGAGCTGAAAGAGGAATTAAATGCCGGAGACAACATCGCCTTAGGAAAAAAATCTGTTTATCTGCTAGCGGTGGTTTTTAAGGTATACATCTGTTCATTTGGTTTTTTATTATAGGTTCTTGTTTCTCAAGTATTAGGAAGAGATATTCCTAAAACCAGTGCAGTTAGGAAATAAATTCTGCTATTGTTGCATTTTGTGTATTTAGCCTCCAGTGGAAAATGGTAGGAGACAGAGCTGCTGTTTTTATGGTCTTTTCTCTGACTTTGGGATACACAATCCCAGGAAACTGTGGTATGAACCAAATTGAAAGAGTTCCAAGATGCATGTTGGCTCTAAGTTGCCTACCATGGCTTAACTGAAGGTTGTTTCTTGTAGGATTTCCTCCGAAGCATTCCCCACAAATTGTTGCTGACTGAGCTTTACGATGAGTGGATGACAGCATTAGAAAAAATGAATCATCAAGAGAAAATTGAAGCCGTGAAAGAGTAAGTGGACCTCTCTTCAAGAGTGGCTTTTTGTTCTTCTGTAATAAGCAATGCAAATAGATACAGATTCTGAAATCCTTACTTGGATGCTTGCAGACAAATAGCTCTTAACTCAAGAAATCAAGAAGCATTACATGATTCCCTCTTTAGTCCCACTCATGTAACAAAAAAGCTATGGAAGAGAATTATGAATGGAAAATGACATAATCAGTTCCTTTCCACATTCTGCTCCCTCCCCCCCCCCCAAAAAAATCTCATCAATGAAGCAAAGCAGGGTAAAAGTTTTATCTGGAAAAGTTGACTGATGCCAGAGGAAATGATATCTAAGACTATACACTTCAGATTAAAGTTTTATAACAGCGGTGTTAAACTGCCGGCCCACGGGCCAGATGCATCATGCTGAAACCGCACCCATCCCATTGCCGGCAATGGAAAAAAAGTCGCAATACATCGTGACACGTCACATGACGTTGCGAGTTTGACACTCCTGTTTTACAACATTTCCTATCTATTCTGAAATGAAACAAAATTGAAAAAGCTGTATTGAAGTGAAGCCCTCTGCCTGCTTAAAATGACACTAATTTTTAATGGGTCATGCTGTCAAGTAAGCCTGGCTAATGGTGTAGCCAACCAAAAGATCTCCTACAATTTTTACTCTGTCATTCTCATTGAATTCAATAGAACTTCTTCCCCAAAAAACGTGGTTAGATTTGTGTTTTGTTACAGTTTCAGATACTTTCTTGTGACTAGACATGTGTGGGTTTCCATATTTTTTATTCATCTTTATTGAAAGCTGGGGAACTATTCATAATGGGCAAACAGGAAGAAGAACGAATCTCTGCGGTACATACTAGCAATGGGGAGAGTAAAAACCTAAATAGCTTTTGCAATAATGCCATTTTTTCCCTTCCTTCCATTTCAAAATGGGGGAGAGCAGTAATATCATCCCATAACCAAATCTGACTGACTTCATGACAACACAATGCCATCAATTCATTTCAAATTTGAAGCTATGCCAGAATACAATGCAAGGAATAAAATGTGCAAGGAATAAAATGTAGGTATGCAGGAATAAAATACATTCCTGCATACTTATATACATAGAATGAAAGGGTCCCATGAATCAAACCAGTGAGTATTGATAGTCCATATTTAGCAACCGCCTCTTTCAGTGACTGTTTGCAGTTACAGTGGTGATGAAAATGTAACTTTGCGATCAGTCCTCACTTTTATTACTTTCACAGTTCTATAAAGCAAAAGAAAGTTGAAGTAAGATCATAACAACAGTCATGGTTTTACTTAGCAACTGCTTTACTTTAACAACCAAATTGTCAGTCCCAATAGTGTCGCTAAACAAGGAATAGCTGTAATATCTAAGGAATTAATCTAAATACCACATGATGAAAAAAACAGATGTGCATATTATATAAATCTTATACAAGTTTAATTATAAATTTAAGAGCATTTTACCCCATAATTTCCCAGGAGACAAAACAATTTCTGCTTGGTGTCTACTCAGGCATTTATGTCTACCTGCTATGAATTTATCTAGCTAGCTAGCTAGCTAGAACTGCCCATCTCGTGCACAGAAACTCACAATGAATTCACTCACTGGGACTTTTGAATGGGAATTTTGGGTAACCACTTTAAATCAATACTTCCACATTTTAGAGGAAGTGTTACTCATATAAGTGAATGCAAAATTTATCTTAAAAAAAAACACTAGAAGCTACAATCTGAGGATAACTTCCCCCCCCCCTTATGTTTATTTTTGCAGGGTTGCAAGCAAATTGCCACAGCTAAATCTTCATTTGCTCAAACACTTGCTTTCTCTTCTTCACCATATCAACAAAAACTCAAAAGTCAATAAAATGGATTCCAGCAACCTCGCCATCTGTTTTGGACCAACCATGTTGAGTCCAAATTGTGACAAAAGCCTGCCACTTGAAATCCAGAAAGAATTGGCTGAAAAGGTACCTTTGTTTTCTTTCCACCTGTTCCACATTGTCTTTTATCTTTGACTGTTTTTTTTCTCTAGCTATAAGGAAGCCAGTCAGTACAACATTCTGGCAGTGAATCCCTTTGGCATTAACCTGACTCACAGTGAAATAGTTTCACACTTGAAATACTGGCCCTATCCTATAGACCAGAGGTTCCCAATCTTGACAACTTTAAGACATGTGGACTGCAACTCCCAACATCTCCCAGCTAGAATTCTGGGAGTTGGAGTCCACACATCTTAAAGTTGCTGAGATTGAGAACCCCTGCTGTTGGTTGCATTGCAACATCCTAATTAATTTAGCTCCAGCACACCAGAATTATAGGAAGCCTTAAAGGGGCCCTTCCCAGATTCATCTTTCAATAAAGTGCCTCTCTGATCTGATATTAAGAAGCTGTGTCCCATTTCTATGCAGCAGAGTGGAACAAGGTGCTGCTTCAAATTGATGCTTTGCTAGCCTTTGACTTTCTGCACCTGCATTTGCAGAAGACATTTCTACACAAGTAACATGGGTGGGTACAGAAAAGTACCCTGCCTCAGGGCTTTTTAACTACAAACATTAAAGATCATGCTTTCTCTGGGTCGAGGTAGTATCTCAAAGGCAACCACTCCAACAAATGGAATTGGGGCAGCTGTATAGAGCCAAATGGTGTTGCTTCATACGACCTTATGTTGTATAAGACTGGAGGAGACAAAGAGAAAGCAAAGGATCTCATGGGGAAAAAGAGGATGGCCCAGGTTACATCCACTGATGGTTTCAAGCCTGCTTATCCCAAACATAAATTGCTCCCAAGGAAATATAACTCTCTAAAACTCAAAGCAAAAGTTCCCCACCCTGAACTAAGAGCTCATTGGCAATTTATAATGATCTTGGTCATCTTCTATAGCTGGTTAAGAAACTCCCCAACATTTTAAGAACAGACTTCAGATTCTCTTAGCTGGAAAGTAGAGCTTTCTTGGTTGATTTTTAAAACATGCAATCATTAAAAGTCCTGCAATTGTGGTACAGTAGCAAAAACTAGTTCTGGCATCAGGGCATAAGCTTTGAGAATTATGCAACCAGCTAAAGCCACAGCAACACAATTGCAAAGTTATTCCATAGAAGATAAGCTTCCATAGGTTCAAATGAAGAGGTTAACAGGCCCACATAAACAAGCAAACAATGGGGGCTATTTCAGAAGTATTTTATTCTTACTGGAAAGCAAGGCAGGAAAAGACAAGAATTCTGTATGTTGTTTTTATGCTTGTACTCTTCAAGGCCGGAATTTACATGTGGGTTTCCTATCGAGATATTCTTCCTATATAGCTCTTAATATATAGATTCCGCTAATAATTTAATGTTGAAATACTCCAAGTTAATCTCTGATTTACATTCTTTGTTTGGCTTGCTTAGGTGAAGTCACTGGTGGAATTCCTCATTAATAATTGTTCGGATATATTTGGAGAAGAAATCTACTCACTGCTCTGTAGGAATACTGATAATTCCCTGGATATGACAGGTACCCTGATTTTGCATGGCTTTGAAGTTATATTTAAAACAGAGTCTGGCTAATCATTTTTCTCTGAATATGCTTAGATTACATTGAAAGTACTATTGAACAATGTTTGGTTCTAGTTACTAAGGAAGTGGCAAAAAATAACCAACCAGTAACAACAGTAAGCCATTTCTAAATGTTAACCACAGTATATCTTAGAGTTTCATAAGAGAGTCACTTATCACTGAGGTTCCTTTCAAACCAGGGTAGAGAAACAGAAATAATATATGTAAAGTTTTGGGAAAATTTATCAGAGAGACTGGGTCCAATTTGTGGATATCAAATTATTATATAGCATTATAGAGTATTTTTGGTAAAACCAGTGGTTATTTCTAAGTTTCATATAAATATGGCTCATTTTTTGTTCCTCTTTTTATTTTTTATCATTTTTCTTTTCATGGACTGTTCAGTTTAGTTTTGTTATTAGTTTTATTATTTTTATATAACTTGTTCCTTAAAGTTTTGTATCCTTAAAAAAATTTTTTTTAAAAAAAAATCCTTTTCACTAGTTTGGGTAGGAAGCCTTTATTCCTCAATTGCAAGTGATGTTCACATACTTTATAGCTGTGAGTGACCACTGACTTATTTCTGATTCTGTCCATTAGTCTCAACATTTGCTTTCCTTCCTTCAGAAATGTCAGCACCAAACCAGCATCGTGATTCTGCTTACAACAGCACAGACCTTGAAGGGGAATGCAGTCTCAGTGACCTTCAACTCAAGGGCTCATCCCACACTAGCAGGCCAAGCAGTACAGAACTGTACCCCAAACAGCCACGAACCCAGATCCCTTCTGCCTTGTCCCTGGCCCGTTTTAAAACAACAATGAAGAAACTTGAGAGGAGGTCCTCAGAACCAGAGTTGCAGTCTTCCAAGAATTGCCAAAAAGGGTGTGTGAAATTTCCAAAACTTTCCAAAAGTGAAGAGAATTTTATTCTGCAGAAGGAATTGGGACTGAAGGGTAGAGAGCTGAGAACGGGAACCCAGACAGTTGAAGAATCCCATCCTTCAGGTCTCTACAGGAACAAAAAGCCATCAAATCTCAGAATCAAAGCCAACTTGCCCTCAGAATTATCAAGTGATTCCTTACTCAGTGCATCTTCTTCCAGTTCACTAGACAGTGCCTCCTCTGTCTCGGACTCTTCTGTCTTCACTAGCTCACCACTCTCGTCACCTGCCATCTTCAAGAACAATGTCTTAATTCGGCCACGGTCCTTCTCTACCAAAATTTCAAATGGAAGTGACAGTGCTGTCTCAGAGCTCAAGAAGCACTCCATGTCATTTTCTGTGGCAACCCGCAAGAAGACGCTGGCCAAAATGGAAAGTCAAGGCAGAGGAGGCTTTCAAAAGGGAAGTTTCAAAAAGGGGCTCAGAAAAGAAAGACCACTTTCCTGTCAAATTGCTCAAGCAACTCATGAGACTGTTCCCAGTCCAGAACCCTCAGGCTGTCAACTAAGATCCCGTTTTATGTCAGCAATTGAAGTGTTTAGACTTGTAGATCAAAATAAACCCAGAAGGCCTCCTTCCTATGAAGAGGCAACCAAACACTTTTCTCCTGATAGATTTTCCTCACACAACAGTTTAAGAGCTCATCCTCTGAGGCTGACCAAGGTTCCTCAGGATTCTGCATCTCAATGTCTGAGGCTCAAGAAAGAGATCACAAACAAAGCAAATGAGAACCTTTTTAATGATAAACCCTCTTTGATCAATGACTCCCAGGACAAAACACCAGTTGTGGATTTTGTTATTGGAATACATTCACGGGCAAATTTACCTCTGACTCCTCAAGTGTACCGTCTCAGGACCATGTCTGGGTCATATCAAAAGAACAAGCAAGAATATATGACACTACAGAACAATCAGATAACTTTTGAGCACTTACAACGTGCAAAAGAATCCTATGTTTAACTTAATTTTCTCATTTCATTACAAATGTATATATTTTGTACTGGGCATGGAAGCAAGACTTTTGCCAAACATTATAGCCCAAGCAGATATAAATCCAACTTTCCATAAAATTGTATTTTTGTTTAATATCCTGTGTAATGTGTTTTGCTCTTTGGCCCATTTTGTACAAAATAATTATGTCCTAATCTGGGCTTGGCTATTCCCATGAATGTAAAAGCAGATTTTAAAACCAATGGATACATCCTTTTAGCTTTATTCACTTTGTTCCCCCACATTAGTGATTTCTTCTTTTTCTATTAAAAGTCTAGACAGAGATCCAATATAAACAGAAATAGAGAAGCAAAAGATAAGGGGAAATGCTGCAGAGATCTTGAGCCAATCTCTATCATATGACCAAGCAAAAGTATAGTTTTCAACAGAATTGGCTCTGCTGTTTTGTCTGGTTTTGCGTTTCTCAAGTGATTCAGTTTCTTCCACCACCACTTCCTATTTGTAAAGGATTTTCAGCTGAACTAAACCTCAATGTTGTGAAATGGTTCTTGCAGTAGAAACAGCGAGACTTTCTGTTTCATGATACTATCCCTGAAAATTCTAATAATGTAAGTTTCCTTCTGGAACATATCACACTGGGACCAGGGTGAGCATGAGAGAAATAGTCTGAATGTATAAGAAAGCCTTTCTAAATTATTTTAGTCTTCCCCAACTTCATACGTTTTAGAAGTGTTGAAATGGCAAATCTCAGCTGTGTAATCTGGGAATTCAGAAGGATGCCCTAACTCATCTGGAAAATGCCAAATTGAAGAAACCCTGACTGAATATTCATGTAGATCAACATTGTGTAGCTTGATGTTCCCCCTTAATTCCAGGAGTCAGATCAAAGGTGTTGAATATAAACATTATTATATCAAACAACTATAAATATTACTCATTGTATAATGCCGTAATGTGATTTATTCGTTTGGCTTCAATATAGTTTGTGGACTTTGCCACTAACCAGGGATTATGGCTTAGTAGAATGTCCAAATCCAGCCACTATGACTTATTCAAGAAAAAGTGATTAAAATAAATGCTTAGTATGCTATGTGATTCCAACCACTGAAAACCTCATCCTTAATATTAAAATTGCTTCCTTTGCAAATATTAACTCAAAATATATAGAAGAAGGCAGCTAATATCCCAGAAATAGTCAGATAGCTTCTTTTAAAAAGTCCCCTGAAGTTTCACTCCGAACCATACTGTTATATGGCCAGCCTGTGTATTCAGGGATGTGTCTCTGTAAAACAAAATAAATACAAGCCAGTGGGATCCTGTGATCTAACATCCCTGCATATATTTCCAGCAATATGGTTATTTCGAAAAATCTAAAGTCAGTCATTTCCCAATAATGTGTGCATTGACCAGTGGTGGGATTCAAATATGTGAACAACCAGTTCGCTGTGTGGATGCTACTTCCAGAAGTCCATTCTGGGCCTGGGCAACAAAAAATTAGCTACCGGTTCTGCTGAAGTGGTGCGAACCAGCTGAATCCCACCACTGGCATTGACTCTTAGAAAACAATTCTATACTTGCCAGAATAGCAAATGATAAGCCAGAGAAGCAGAAGATCTCAAAGATATCTAGCAAAACATCAGTTGCATGTTGCCAGAAGTTTTTCCCAATAATGGCAGAAATATTGGGATCAAAACAGGACCTATCAAGGATATGCCTGAAGAATGCTGGGTGATGTAATGGGTCTGCCACCTCCTAAGCTCCTTACATTCCTGATCTATCCCTCAAGCAGCCAAACAAATTATTTAGCCCTGATGTTAATGCAATGGATTCTGTTCCATCCCCCATGAGGATTGATGAACCATGAGGATTTTAGCTGAGATGGCTGCTTGATCACAGACTCTGTGACCACCAGATCATATTACATGAATACTTTAAGGACCCAAAAAGTGAATATTTCCAGAAGGACAAGGAGGTATTGTTCTTCTTGTTCTTCATCTTTTCAGATGAAAGATATGAACCAACTAGCAAGCCCAGATACAGCTTGCATAAAAGTCTCACACAGGTCCCCATATTCCCAATATTAACATTTTCACAAGGCCAGTTGTGGAAAGCTCACAAGGTCCTATATATTCAGTGCATCCTTTTATAGTTGATTAAATGAAAGTGAATGGTTCTCCATTAAACATATCTCTTCAAAGATCAGCCATGTGTATGGACTTTTAGCAGTTTTAGTGTTTTAGTACAAAAACATCTTCAATACATCAGGCTGAGTAAGTTGGTAATGTATAATTGGCCCCTAACTGATGGGAGGCATTGGCCCTTAGGATCAGCATCCATGAATCTGGCTGGACTATTCAGAGTTGAGTTTAAACAGAATGCTAAACTAATCAAATGTGAGAATGGGTTATTTGGGAATGAGTGCTTTGTGTGAACTCGGGTGTTAGATGGATCTGATATGGTTAATACAGCACGTTTGATTCTTTTTCCACCTATATGACTGAAATCTATGGATATTACATGTATTTATTAACTAGGCTGAGGAAAACATACACACACACAGTTTCATTTAAAAACTATAGAAGACGGGGCATTGGAAATCACAGCTGTTTATGTTCCATACAAAGCAAATCATTAACATGGAAAATAAAAATCAAAGTCAGATTGTTTCCTATTGCTGGTGAGTTTTTTCCAAATTCAGTCAGGATTTTCTCTCATCAGGGACTTGAGAAATTAATCTTAATCTTTAATCTAGATTAAAATCTAGATGTTCTTAATCTATGTTCCTAAGCTTCAGTGTCAGAGGACAAGACAGTTTCTATTTACCTGCTTTTTGTGCAAGTTTCTGGGTTCATCAGCAGATCTTTTCTTTGCCTGTTTTGTTGTGCCTGTATGACAACCATCATATTCTAGGAAAATGACTCAGTGCTTCCATCTGTTCACAGATCTTGAGACTTTCCCCGTGTTTTCCTGACGGTTTAAGGTAAACAAAGTTGCCATGATATGACTCATGATGCCTGTCAGGCTGGGTACAATCAATTCTGAACTTTTGTTTCCACGAATAAATTGAAGTTGTCTTCTACTACAATAAGATATTAGTTACACCATTTTCTGATCAGAATAACACCAACTAAAGGAAAGGATGAAATAGATGAACAAAAACATATATGGAAACTTGCAACTTCGTTCCATAAAAGAATTCTGTGGCTCATTTGTATCATTGAGGTTTCTGTTAATTTTTCTTTAGGTCTATTTTCAGCAGCATAATTCAGTCGGAATCAACTCAATATTTGGAGAAGATTTAGTAATGGCAAGATGCGATCCATGCATCTACCTCCCTGTGTGTTCAATCTCCCCAGTACATTCAAGATGGATAGATAGATTATTTCTAATCCAAATCAAATTTTCTTAAATTGATTTCTATGTCTAATGGGCCTTGAACCTATGTGTTACAAGTCCTGGTCCAAAACATTAACCCTACACTTCATTCATTTCTTCTTCTATAAGTATGTGCAACCTTTCTGCTAAACTTAGAAAAAGTAACACAAAACTCTGAACATATACAGTATATGCCACATGAAGACTAGGCAACCTAATGCTTTCCAGCTATTTGCACCGGAACTCTGAGTATCCCTGATTACAGATACGAACAGTCTTAAGTTAACTAAGAGATCACTAATTACACATTGGAATTCAAGCTCCATGAAGAGGATTTGCTATTTCAGAAATATTTTGAAGTCACCTGATAAGAAAAAGTATACACTTCATCTTTGGGAAAAAGCTGTCTAAACTGATTACCCACATATGTAATACACCCAGCTAGAGCCCTACAGACCAGATGTCTTCTTCTCCAACTCATCCTTCTTTGATTTCATTGTCCATTTTAGTTGCTGAATCTTTCTTGTCTTTTTTCCCAAAGAACTGAACTGATTAATTGCAAAGGGATGTTTCTCCTCTTTACTCTCCATTTCTATTTCTTTCCAGTATTTGAGGAGCTGCCACAAAGAAGAGGAGATCAAATTATTCTCCAAAGCACCAGAGGGCAGGACAAGAAAAAATAGTTGGAAACTGATCAAAGAGAGAAGCAACCTGGAATTAAGGAGAAACTTCCTAACAGTGAGGACAATTAACCAGTGGAACAGTTTGCCTCCAGAAATTGTGGGCGCTCCATCATTGGAGGTTTTTAAGAGACTAGACAGTCACTTGTCTGAAATGGTATAGATTCTCCTGCTTGAGCAGGGGGCTGGACTAGAAGACCTCCAAGATCCCTTCCAGCGCTATTCTATTCTATTCTATTCTATTCTATTCTATTCTATTCTATTCTATTCTATTCTATCATTATAGTTCAATCTCTTCCACTCTCCCTTGTACTATCCAAAGCAAACTATCCATTTTGTCCCATAGATTCCCCATCTCTAGTTTAAAAGATATGTGATCTTAATAGGAAATGATATCATTGAAACTTTTCTTCCCAGTAATATGGCAGGCTTTATTTTATGTTTATCATTGATGCTGCTAAGCTTTACACATTATTCTGATTTTCCTGTTAATCATTCAGTCCTTACTTTTCTGCTTCTATTTTGCAGATGTAGTGACAGTTTCTGTACAATATCTGCACTGAGGTTTGCTTTTCTTGCAATCTAAAGCTGATAATCCAAGGCACATGACAATGACACCAACAAGGACAGAAGTGACATCTTGTGGTTAAATTCTCATGAGTAACCATAAAAAAAAAAATCTGGTATTTTTTACGTGTATCATCTATATGCAATCACTAGTATAATCTCTCTTTTTTTTCCTGTCCATTCTGCTCCATTTTCCTGTCCATTCTGCTCCATTCTGAGCATCAAAGCAGGCTTGTTCATTAAAAACAGCATTTGAAAATAACAATTAAAAAAAATTAAAAGCAGCAGATATTTAAAATGAGTGTCTTATGAAGCATTCCAGCACTTTATGGTATAAAATCAGAAATCTAAGTAGAATATCTGAAGGTTTTGAAAGACAAAAGGAAGGTGGAGAGGACAAGAATCATACTACTGCTACCACCACCACATCATCTTATGAGGTGCTGGGAATATTATCCGATATTGTCCTCCTACTTGGGAAAAATTCTACCAAGTATGGACACTTTCTCAACTGGCTCCCCTTCCACTATCACGATCGGGTCATTGTCCAATTCTCTGCTATCTCTGCATGAAATATGATTTTTCTATTCCTGGAAGCTTAGTTTAGATGCAAGTCATAATTCCTTGGTGCTACACAAGACATGATGTGAATTCCACAAGCACTGCAACCTGACTAAGTCAAGTGAAATCCTTTCAGAATGGAATATCTCCTGGCTCTTTTTATGCCGGAAAATGTATATATTGGGAACATTCAAACAATTCCAGTGAATCAACCCAACTCCCTGATCTGGGATCAGTTTACCTTGGCAACTGTTGTTAGGATGGAATTCCTCATCGCATAACAATAGTAGGCGGGGTGGATTGTTCCACAATGTGCCACTAAGGCTTTGTAGTCTCTCTTGGAACCCATGGTAGCCTAGACCCAGCATGACCTCAGTGGTTCTCAACCAGGAGGATGCAAGAGTATCTACAGAAACCTACAGCTACAGCAGCCATCCCCGAGTGCTACCCAACAGAAAGCGGTACCAAGAACATTACATAAACAATGTGCAGTGAGTAATGACACTTAACTTTACAGTTTTGACTCAACATCTAACCCCATTACAAATCTGACTCAGCCTGACCAATCTTATATTCTTTCTCTTTTCCCCCCTCTTGCCAATTGGCAAGTGCTCTTGACTGTATATAAAATTATCAGATCCTTTCCTTTTATTGCAGTGGTTCTCAACCTTTCTAATGCCGTGACCCCGTAATACAGTTCCCCATGTTGTGGTGACCCCCAACCACTTATACATCACCGGTGCCAGGGGCGTGGCCAAAGAAAAGGGGAAAAAATGGCGGACAGCCTTGTTTGGCGACCCCCATGAAATGGTCATTCGACCCCAAATGGGGTCCCGACCCACAGGTTGAGAACCACTGTTTTATTGGAATGCTTCTTTCAGATAACAGCAGCACTATACACTGGATAATTTTCTTTATGTCTTTATGTCTTTCTTACTATTGAGAAAAAAAACTATCATTTGGGACAGTGCACTGCAAACAGAAGAAAGGACAATGGGTTCTATTGACCTAGCTCTTATTCATGTCATGTTTAACGACTGTATCCTGTTGTGCATTACAGGTGAGCACATCCTTGAAAGGGAATGTGTCTGTGCCTTTTCTGCTGCTAGCAAGACGAATTTGTAAACCACAGTCATAAACCACACTGCTCAGAGTGTGCAAAGTTACTCAATCATTCTATTGAGTTGTGCCAGTATAATCTTTTTATTTGGAAGCAAAATACCAAGTGAAACACCACCATCACTAAAACCCAAAGTTACAATTTGTTTCCATAGGAGGTACCAAAGCTTGGTTTAGAGCAGCTGCTTCGCAAGCAGAAGATCCCCAAATCACTCTTCCACCTCTGTTTTTCTGGAAATATCAGGCACAATAGCCAGATGTGGGGAAAGCTGACAACTGAGATCAGGAAGACATACAGTCAAAGTAGGCAATCTAAAACTGAATGGATACAAAGCTCATCTATAATCTACATTTTAAAATGACTCCAGTTTCATAAAACAATTAGCAATATCCCACTGCTCTATTTATGGGATCAAATGTCTATATTTTTGTTGTCTCTTTCATAAATCCCTGATTGGCAGTATTTTTGAGACATTGCTATAATCCCTTCTTAATTTTATGAATTACAGAGAAGGGCCAATTAACTACGGGAACCTCATGTATGATCGTAGAGTGGTTCGAGGAAACACATATGCTATGCAGTTGTTATCCTGGGTAGGTTCCCTTTCTTATAAATATTTTTACCTCTCTTAATTATGGGAAGGCTGGAATGTTATTGGTGAAATATACTTATTTATGAGGGTGTAGTGATACCTAATTCACATGTGCTACTCAGTGAATGATGTTCATGCATAGATTTATCACTGAAGAAATACATTTCCATCCTCAAGTATCCAGCTTTCTTAGAGACCTAGAAACAAATATCCAGAAAAAAATATTTAAATATAATCATTATAATAATATCAAAATTATCTAGAAACAAATAAATATCCGACTTTCTAGATACCTAGAAACAAATAAAATTATAATCAGTATCCAACATGGGTTCGTCAAAAGCAGATCATGCCAAACAAATCTTATTTCATTCTTCGACAAAGTGACTAAATTAGTAGATCAGCGAAATGCCATGGACATAATATACTTAGACTACAGTAAGGCATTTGACACAATAGACAACAACCTACTTCTTGGTAAGATAAGAAAAATGTGGGATAGACAGCATCATCACCAGATGGATTTGTAACTGGCTGACAAGCCATATTCAATGTGTAGTTCTCAACGGAAGTACATCCACATGGAGGGAAGTAAGTAGTGGGGTACCCAAGGTTCAGTTTTAGGCCCAGTACTTTTCAATATCTTCATAAATGATCTATAAAAGCACACTGTAGGAAATAGCCTTCATGATCATATGGCTAGCAAAGTCATGATTTTAGAAAAGAAATCAAAATTGGATAGCTAATGGAAAGTTTATGCAATGGATTATTATAGTTAGGACATTTGTGTTGCAAAATATCTCTTCAGATGATAGTGCTCAGCTGACTTGTCTGAGCAACTCTAAGAAAAGTCAGGTTTGTTAGTGAGAATCTCAGTATACTATACTGAGAAGTTGCAAAATATTCCAGAAATTGGTAATGGCAAATTACTGTCATAATACTGCCCAAAATATCCTGCATGGTTGTGTTCAAAGGTTCTCCATAAGGACTAAAGTTGAGAAACAACCTTTTCATACTACACAGAACCACTGTGTAAAGTTGGAATATATCTCCCAACTCCAGGTGAGGAATGTCCATTGATTCAAAAGCAGGTAGGAGGAAAAGACTAGAATTTGAAAGCTGAGGCAGACATATGTATATAGGGCTTGATCTCTTTCTCTCTCTCTCTCTCTCTGTCTCTCTCTCTCTCTCTCTCTCTCTCTCTCTCTCTCTCTCTCTCTCTCTCTCTCTCTGTGTGTGTGTGTTGTGTTTGTGTGTGTGTGTGTGTGTGTGTGCGTGCACGCGCGCACGTGCGTGCTATATATGTTCTACTTTATCTGCAATAAAGCAACTTAACTAGCAATGTCATACAATGTCATGTATTAGATGTAGGAGTCAGCAATTCATGAATTATAAGTCAAATGCAGATTGCCAGGAGAAGGGACTTTAATTCTGAAATAAATGTCCATTTATGCTCGAAATATCTGTCATGATAATAATCCTAACATAACCAGTACATGAAATATCCTAAAGCTCTTGTCCTATCAATTCTCAGGATTCATGGGTCTTCTTGGTACTTGTGAGTAGACATGGCTAAGACAGTTAATGAAGGAACACGAACATGAAAATTGTATTAATATGCAAAGCATCCATCCTGTTTTAGTCCAATCAATGTAATGTGTGATGAGGCCTTCTAACATTGTCCTTGATGCCAAGGAATACTATGATATTCATAGATATTCAACCCCTGGTCCGTGGACTGATACCGGGCCGTGGCATGCCAGCAACCAGTCCACACAAACAAGCGAAGCCCTATCTGTGGGATGCAGGCAGCACACAAAACCATGCAGTCTCCGGTCCGCGGAAAAACCTTTCACCACAGAACCAGTCCCTGGTGCCCAAAAGGTTGGGGGCCTCTGTTCTAGAAAGTCATTCCATTCCTGAGGACTGAGAGAAGAGTGTAGTATCTGATAGATTGGATATTTGAGGATGCATGAATGAAGCAAATTAAAAACCTTATCAGGCCTTATCTCCCCTGACTTTTTCTGGACATCACTAGTTTTCTGTAAATATGGGATATAGTTTGAAGATGATTGTATTTCAGTCTCAAAGGCCTTATTTACTCCAGAATAACTCCCAAAGAATTCTGCAAGGTTTAATTCTTTACAGACATGCTTTACACTGTGTGTCCCGTTGCTCTCCACACAGTTTGAAAAGGCTTAGTTTTCTTTGCTTATTCTATTAGTCATCTGTGACTCGTTGTTCCTCTCCCATCTGTGGAAGAGCAGCTGCCCAGCACCGTTGCTTTGCTTGGGAAAAGCACAGAGGACAGTATTGCCTGCTAAATGTCAGCAAGAGAGTCTGAATGAAGGGCCAGTTTTGGTTGAGCACAGATTGGACTTTGAGTAATTATCAACTGAGGAATCAGGCTAGGATAGTTCAGAGATGTGTGTGATGATCCTAGCATTCTATAGGTAAACAAATTAGTTCTATATTGCATTTTGTGCTATTGTATTGGACAACATTTGTGTAAACTGCTTTTCTTTTGATTTCATACACAAAAGAGGGAGATAACAACAAGAGAGTAAAGAATAAAATGATACTATCAGCAGCTTGAAGAGTTTCTTGGGGACTAGACTATAAGGTTTTCAGTCTCCAATGAGAGTCAGTGTGATGTAGTTGGATTAGGAGCAAGGAGATCAAGATTCAGGTCCACTCTCAGCCCTGGGAGGCTTTAACACTCTTTAACTCAACCCAACCTACCTCTGAGGGTTGTGGTTATGGGAAAGATAGGAGATGGGAGCATGGTGTATGCCCCCAGGATCTCTTGAATGAAAAGCCAGCTATACGTAAGAAAATAAGAAAGAACACCATGTAAAATAGCAGAGAATTCTTCTCCTTTCTCTCCAGAGCCCAGAACCTGCTCCTGCTGAAATCAAGAAGCGATATGAAACTCACAAGAAAATGCTTGAACAGAAGGAAAGAAAGAAAGAGAATGAGATCCATGCACCCAAAATTCAGGATATTGAAAATCGCAGTGATGTGCAGACAGGTAAAGCACCAGACAGCATCAAGCAATTATCAAATGGCTTTTAGATCTGAGACAAAGGATAATCTGTTGGGCCCAAATACCCACCCAAGTGATGGACCATCAAGGACTTTTCCTTTTTCTTTTCAACTTTCCTTTTTTTCCTTCCATTTTATACTTTCGTGTTTTTCTCATGACATTATAAAAAGAGCATGTTGCTAGGGCATACGTTGTCACACATCCCATTCTAACACTTGCAGGAGCCATCTGGTTTAAAGTTTTTGTCTTTCCTATTAGCATTCTCTGCACTGTACATACTGCATATCATTTTCAAGATGACATCCTAAACCAGTGATGGCAAACCTTTTAGAGTCCGAATGCCCAAACTGTAACCCAAAACCCACTTATGCATTGTCAAGTGCCGGATGGCTGTGGCCCATTGGGTGGGCGTGGTTGCAGTGGTAACGACAGACTGGGTGGGACTAAAAAGTTCAATCAATCAATTCCAACTTTGCAGGATCTTTTTTTTCCCTGTGAGAAGTTGAAATTGAACCTTTTTTTTTTTTTTGCACATGGTGGTGGAGGCCTAAAGCAAAAAGGTTTTATAAAACCCAGCTGAAGGCCTAGGACTAGGGCGACAGCGTGCATGCCCACAGAGAGGGATCTGAGTATCGCCTCTGGCACCCGTGCCATAGGTTTGCCACCACTGTCCTAAACATATTCACTATAGCACGGGTGTCAAACTCACCACATCACGTGACGTGTCGTGACATATCATGACTTTTTTTGTATTGCCGGAGCTGGGGTGGGCATGGCCTCTGCATGATGCAACTGGCTTGCAGGTCAGCAGTTTGACACTCCTGCACTATTGGATACATTCAATACAAAGCATTATTTGTTCTTGTTTTTTTATTATTATTATTAACAATCATGGTAATAGCTTCAGTACTTGCTTTTTAATGAACAGCAAATCACCTTACAGCAGTACTGCCAATACTGTACTTATATTGTCATATATTCTGAGCAAGAAGGATGTCCTAAAGATGGATATTCACAAGAGGGAAGAAATTTAAAAAAAAAATCTAGCTAGTGACCATGACTGTGCGATCAAGGCCATCTTTTTTTGTTTTGTTTTAGTGCCATCCACAAGTACACCTGCATAAAGTAAAATAAAAAAGAAATCTATATTTTTTTCAGTGATTTTTTTCGGGCTATTTTAGGAACCACAGGTAGAGCCTAGGAACATGAAGTCTTTCTAGACAGACTTCCATGTGTTTTATTTTTCAGAATTGTACCTGGAAGAGATTTTAGATCGCATTATTGAAGTTGACATGGAGTGTCAAACAGATGCTTTTATAAAAAGGCTACCCAGCCCAGTGTTCATCCCACAGAAGACTGGGGTTGATGTATCAACACAAATTGAAGAAGGAGAGGTACCGACAATATTTCAGTACTATTCTAAATAATCCAAGAGATAATGCCAAAAACATCTTTAAAAACTTCTAATTTTAGAAGCTTTAGAAGTTAAAACATTTTATAATACTCTGTTCTTTCAAGCATACTAAAATTCAATACCTTATGGGGACTGTGAAACACCACATCAGATATTCTGAACCCCACTTCTATTTTTTTTTTCAACTGAGGTGCTTGCAAGAAAATAGGAGTCAGCTAATTTGGAGGGGGCAGTGATGTGCCCATAAAGACCTGTCTCTAAGGTCCTAACAATCATTCAGTAAAGCAAGGAAAGCAACATGTGACATAATATGATCGAGAGGTATCTAGCAGATGCTCCAGAAAAATCATTGTTGCACCTGCTTCCTAGCAACATTTGCTGTATTTACATTCTCAGCATGTTTAAAGCATCTGAGTATGCTCAGATACAATGACTGAAGGGCAGCTCGCCCTAATTGTGCCCACACTCATGCTAGAATTGGTTGCACAGATGACGTTACCTAGTTTGGGTAATGGAACATCTGCAAGGAAACAATCAAGCTCAGAGAGCACCCAAGGACCCTTCATTTCAACCCTGAATTACAAATATTCTCCTTTATAAGAATGATTGTCTCCTTTTGACAGATGAAAGGCTTGTCTATGACCCGATCAGAAGAATATATTTTTTTGTTTCCTGTCATGGATTGGAATGATACTGAACAGCATTCATTCGCTTCTTTTTTAACCCTCAGCTCTTTAACTTTGACATTGAAGTTAAACCAATGCTTCAGGTGTTGGTAGGGAAAACCTTGGAGCAAGCTTTGCTTGAAGTCATGGAAGAAGAGGATCTTAGCAATCTTCGGGCACACCAATATGCCTATCAGGAACTGCGCAATGCAGAGTTAGCTGAAGTGCAACGCCTCGAAGAAAAGGAGCGGCGACACAGAGAGGAGAAGGTAGAACTGCTGTAGAAACCATTACTTAGTGGTTTGCTTTGATGCTTATATATTTTGCTATAGCATTTTTTCAGACAAGGAATTGAGGCTGAGTGGTATCTTGTCCTTTGCCTTGAGCATCAAACTGTCTTCATCCCACCCTAAAAATTAGTGGCTTTTACGTACTTAGTTTCAAATCAGTCAAGTTCTCAGTGACTTGAAGTTACAAATTATTTAAATTAGATATGATCTCAAAAAGACAGCTTCTTTTATAGCAAGTAAAGTAAGACAAACTGATACTGTTAAATACAAATATGAGGATCAAGGTGTATAAATACATCACATAACAGAATAACAGAGTTAGAAGAGATCTTGGAGGTCTTCTAGTCCAACCCCCTATAACATTTCAGACAAGTGGCTGTCCAGTCTCTTCTTAAAAACTTCCAGTGTTGGAGTATCCACAATTTCTGAAGGCAAGTCGTTCCACTGATTCATTGTTCTAACTGTCAAGAAATTTCTCTTCATTTCTTAGTTGGTTCTCTCCTTGATTAGTTTCCATCCAGTGCCTTTTGTCCTGCCTTCAGGGTAAAAAGTACATTTTTACTGCTTTATCCATACAGCATATTCTTAATATATGCCAAGAACCTGGCAAACAGTGTTGCTGATATTCACTTGGAATTTAATTCCAACTAGACAGATTGGGTCGAGGTGACAGAAGTATAATTGGTTACCTGGAAGGAATTTGGTCCTGCAGCTCCTGAGAAAGTAGACAGGTTCCTTGGGATAGGTAACCCAGCTATATATTTGTTAGACTCTTGCTTTTCTTGACTTGTGAAAGCAGTCTGAGAAATGACTTGTAACTGGATCCATATAAATGTTAACAAGACAATCATAATACAACAATTGCTTTCAACAGAAGGTAATTATTACTGTTTTTTTTCTGGAATCAATGAATTGTTCAATATTTACAGATAATGGGGAAGGGGGAAAGCCCGCATGTTTTATATATTATGTAAAAAATATCTGTACAAAAAAGTCACATGGAAAAAATTGATGATTATTTAAAGGAACATCGTATGGCAAAGGAGTACGAAATACAAGTAAAGGGAGCAATGGTGTCTCAGAAAGCGGCATCCCGGGCATTTGCTTTGCAATATCTGGCAGATCTGATTCCTTCAGTCTTTTTTAGCCTTCGGAATAAAGGATTTTTCTATGATGAAGTACAAAATGGTAAGTGTCATTTGTACTGAAAATAATTTTTTTAAATCCATATCAGTAATCCCTTAAATCATCCCATGTGATAACACTTGGCCCCAAAATATGCCAAGCCCAAATGTGTAGCATATTTAAAAAGGCTTGGCTAGGACAGTATTTCTCTTGTTCAAGTGTTGCTTCATTTTTTTTTCTTATTTTACATTTTAAAAAATTCTCAAGGTGGCTAATAAGATTGTACCTGGTGTTTGCTTGATAAGTTCAGATATGACTGCCTTTTAATATCTTGGGCAGAGTTTTTTGTTTAAAAAAATCAATCCTGATAAACTCTATAATATGGATGAGATTAAAAGAAACCCCCCTACAGTAAGAATTAATGAGTAGCTTAAACTGGCAAGTAATATAATTACGTAAGAACTTTGCCGGTTAAGCTCTATTGAGAAAGCAGAAGTGTCTTAAGCTGATACTTAGAGGACACTAAAAACAGCAGGAGCCAGAGTTCCCTATGAAAGCAGCTTTAAACTCCATTAATCATTTTGCCTAATCTCCGGAGAAGGATAATCCGTACAGTACTACAGCCTCGGTCATTTATTTTTAAGCAGCAAGCAGGTTCAGATGGTTAAAATATTTATATTACTTGATCCAAAACCATTATTTATTATTATTATTATTTATTATTATTATTATTATTATTATTATTATTATTATTATTATTATTATTATTATTATTATTATTATTATTATTATGGACAGTGGTATTTGGCTAGACTGCCATAGAGAAAATCTATCTATGTGGTTATTAGGAGTCACAAACAACTTGATGGCACATAATTAGCAGTGATATTTAGACAATGTTGACTAAGTATTATTTTAAAGGCAATTAACCATTAAAAATAAAAGGTTTGTATCAATATTAACTGTGATTTCTGAAATATTCATTTGATAAGCGCAAGGTTACTTGATTTAAAGATGAGTGTGGCATCAATAAACCACAAACATTTATTATATGCTAAAGCTTTCTGTCTTAAATGTAATAGCTAATCCTAAAGCCTCCACATATTGTTGCTTTTGCATGTTAAATAAGGGAAAGGAAAGAAGAAGAAAACAACCAAAAAGCTATTGGTTTCCCAAAACATTAAGAGAGGAATCACAAACTCTCTGAGACAAGATGGATATACAAAATATCCTAGGCCAAGCAGGGGGGGAGCAGGATCTGGCAAGAGAACTGGATTATCTGTTAAAGCAAGGACTTCAAAGTTTCCAGACTGTGATACCTGTTTAAAAAAAAAAAAAAGTAATAATACTCGGGAACCCCTGATTGAGAGTCAAAGAAAAAGCTATGTTTTTTAACCATTAGTTTCTTATGGAATTCTATCAAAAGTTCCATACAGAACCCCATGTTAGTTCCATAGAGGATACTCTTGAGTTCCACAGGACATATTTCAAAAACCATGTTTTGTGAATCAGTACTAGGCTTAACTCTTCTTTCAGAGTAAGAGTGCTTAGTATTTTATAGTTAGAAATATTTTCTGAATGCAAGGACTATGCTGATAAATACAAAAACCCACAGTGATTCTGAACCTATTTTTAAAATATTATGTATTAAGTAGCTGCTCTATTAAACTTTTAATCCAAGTCAGTTCTCTGGATAGATCGAAAGTTACTTAAAACATTAAATTCTTCTAATTATTTATTGTTTAAAAAAAGATAGTACATATGCAAAAGGAAATAAAGAAATAGCACAGCATAGTTAGCTAATCCTAGAAAAGTTCTTATGTATTTGGGAAGAATGTTATGGAACAGAATGGATATGTCACCCAGTAATTACATCCAGGGTCATGCTATATTTCATTTTTCTTACTTTGCTTCACATATAAAATCATCTAGCTTATGTACAAAAAAATGCCAACCTGATAAATAGTGATCTTATTTATTATAATTTCTAAAGAGACAGACATTGTACTTTAGCACAGGGCTTTTCAACCAGTGGTTATGCGTACCACCGGTGGTACTGTCATGGTTCTGATAGATGAAACCCTTCAAAAGAACTTCAAGGCATTGTTTACCTTAAAGAAACTTTTTATTCGGGAAACAAAGTATCGGCACTACATAGTTGAACCCAAAAACTAAATTCCCTTCCCCCAATACAAAGTAACAAAGTGCAATTCCCACCCCCAATAAACTGTCAAAAATCACATTTCCCAATTAGCTTAAAGCACAGGCTTTCCCCTTAGATACACAGCCTGCCAAAACGTTGTCAACTTGTCCTTGGGTTCCCACCACAGCATTATGTTATGGCTAGCTGAGCTTACATTCCAATCCCCCCTTCTCTTTGCTGCACCTAATTTCTAAAGTAAGGAAAAGCATGTTAAAGGAATAGAGAAAATGGCTGCATTTTCATCAGTTGTCAAAGCGGAAACATCCAATGTTAGCAGCATTGACAGGTACATTGGCACCTGGCAAGTGGTACGCAGCCGTGCCCAGCCAAGGATAGTGGGGGAGAGAACAAGACAAAGTGGCGCAGTGCAGGACTTGCCATGAGAGAGTCCTCAGGAGTTGCAGGGCGGCTGGGGCGAGGCAAAGGCCCCAGAATCAGCACTTCCAGCTCACCCGGAAGAGAAAGGAGGAGGGGGGACAAGACAAGAGAGGCTATAAAAGGAGGCAGTTTGGGCGTGAGAAGGAGAGAAAAAAAAGACGCAGCCTTGGGAAGAGGAATCAGCTGGAGCTGCACGGAAGGGGGAAAAAAGGAGGAGGGAGGGGAGAGATGAGAAGAGATCAAACAGGCCAGCAGGGAGCCGATCTACAACTTCTGTGGCAGCCATCTGTGCCAGGTGTGCACACAGGTGGCAGTGACAAAAAGGCAAGAAATGCAGCGGGGGAGGGGGTCACCCTCCAAGAGGAATGAAGAAAGGCAGCATCGGCTGGAGGTGAGGCACGGAGGGAGG